GCGGAGTTATAGATATATTCCCCTAGTAAAAGTTGGTATTTTGAGGCGCAATCTTAACACGTGTATGCTAAGAATATGTGGAGAAAACGTTTTACCGGTCTTCGACTTCTCACTAACTACGAAGAGTTAGGCCCTGAAACTTGGAGGTCATATCAGGTGAAGCATAAGTACATACCTCCTTGAGCCGCAAGATGATACTCGTTGTGGTGGCTGTGCACGAGTCGAAAAACCGGATATGCTAAGAATATGTGGAGGGGTGTATTGATGATACCACTGGTATCATATTCACACGCATATCTACTGAGCAGCAGATCTCTAGCATCGCGCAGGAGTATCACGAACATTTCATATGTCGTAACATAATGAGCAATGAAAAGGGGTTCCGAGTTCCAATCAAAATTTTCAACGAAGGAAAATTCTTCTTACGAACTCAAGAAATCTCTGCAGCTACACGACACTATAGTGTGATCCAAGAGATATTGAGTCTGGTGTGGTATCATATTCACATGCATATCTACTGAGCAGCAGATCTCTAGCATCGCGCAGGAGTATCACGAACATTTCATATGTCGTAACATAATGAGCAATGAAAAGGGGTTCCGAGTTCCAATCAGAATTTTCAACGAAGGAAAATTCTTCTTACGAACTCAGCAAATTACTGTAGCTACACGACACTATAGTGTGATCCAAGAGATATTGAGTCTGGTGTGGTATCATATTCACATGCATATCTACTGAGCAGCAGATCTCTAGCATCGCGCAGGAGTATCACGAACATTTCATATGTCGTAACATAATGAGCAATGAAAAGGGTTTCCGAGTTCCAATCAGAATTTTCAACGAAGGAAAATTCTTCTTACGAACTCAACATATCTCTGCAGCTACACGACACTATAGTGTGATCCAAGAGATATTGAGTCTGGTGTGGTATCATATTCACATGCATATCTACTGAGCAGCAGATCTCTAGCATCGCGCAGGAGTATCACGAACATTTCATATGTCGTAACATAATGAGCAATGAAAAGGGTTTCCGAGTTCCAATCAGAATTTTCAACGAAGGAAAATTCTTCTTACGAACTCAACATATCTCTGCAGCTACACGACACTATAGTGTGATCCAAGAGATATTGAGTCTGGTGTGGTATCATATTCACATGCATATCTACTGAGCAGCAGATCTCTAGCATCGCGCAGGAGTATCACGAACATTTCATATGTCGTAACATAATGAGAACTGAAAAGGGCTTCCGAGTTCCAATGAAAATTTTCAACGAAGGAAAATTCTTCTTACGAACTCAGCAAATTACTGTAGCTACACGACACTACAGTGTGATCCAAGAGATATTGAGTCTGGTGTGGTATCATATTCACATGCATATCTACTGAGCAGCAGATCTCTAGCATCGCGCAGGAGTATCACGAACATTTCATATGTCGTAATATAATGAGCAATGAAAAGGGTTTCCGAGTTCCAATGAGAATTTTCAACGAAGGAAAATTCTTCTTACGAACTCAACACATCCCTGCAGCTACACGACACTATAGTGTGATCCAAGAGATATTGAGTCTGGTGTGGTATCATATTCACATGAAGGTCAATTTATTGGGCTAGGTCAACAAGCGAGCGAATGGTTTGTGTTGTGGTTGGGGTTTTGGATGGATAAGCATTCAGTTATCATTTAGTTAATGGGGACTTTCCTGAGTGCCTCCACGCGGCGTCCCTGGACAGGAGCTTACAGGACTTCTGACTAAAGCTCAGGCACTAGTTATAATGTAGTACTCTTGGGAGGTAGCGTTCGGCATCTCTCGATTCGGGTCGACGTCTCCGATTGAAAATTTCAATCTAATGGGGACTATGGGTTGAATAGCAAAGAGGGTTTTTGCTCGAGAAGGGGTGTAATACACTTAGTGTTTCGCGCTACCGTAGTTGTCAATTCGCCTGGTTCGGATGCGTCGAATTCAGTGTGATATGACCTCTCGGATGGTTGTGATTCGTTCTTTCTTTGAAGCGCTTACTGCGAGAGATGGAACGCTCATTAGATGTCATCGTAAAATGTTTGGTCGTTGTATTCGGTTGAAATTTTGAATTGTCGTTTGGTTGGGGGTCACACGCCATCAAAGGGAGGCTGGATGCCAATGTGAGATGGCTGGATGCCAATGTGAGATGGCTGTATGCCAATGTGAAATGGCTGGATGCCAATGTGAAATGGCTGGATGCCAATGTGAGACGGCTGGATGCCGATGTGAGATGGCTGGATGCCAATGTGAGACGGCTGGATGCCGGTGTGAGATGGCTAGATGCCAATGTGAGATGGCTGGATGCCAATGTGAGACGGCTGGATGCCGGTGTGAGATGGCTGGATGCCAATGTGAGATGGCTGGATGCCAATGTGAGACGGCTGGATGCCGGTGTGAGATGGCTGGATGCCAATGTGAGATGGCTGGATGCCAATGTGAGATGGCTGGATGCCAATGTGAGATGGCTGGACGCCAATGTGAGATGGCTGGATGCCAATGTGAGATGGCTGGATGCCATTGTGAGACGGCTGGATGCCAATGTGAGATGGCTGGATGCCACCGGGGGAAGGCTGGATGCCATAATGACACAATTCCACAATAATGGTGGGTGAGCTAGGAGTGAAAGTTGACTTGCCTGGCTCGTTGTATCGGGTTGCAGTGTGAGTCCGACTTCACGTACCATGCTCTAACCTAATGCGACTCTAGAATAGCAACTGTAGAATGCTTTATTCCTTCGAGTCAGTTAAATTTCAATCGTTGGAACTCAACTCCTGACTGATATGGTGGTGGAATGTCAATCGTTGGATCTCGGCGAGTGCTGGTAACTAAGTTTCGCATTGCAGGGTAGGTCAATTTCGTCTCGTCAGTGAGTCCCTGAAACCCTTTTGAGCTGCAATGTGATTTGTGATCATCGGTACTTAGTATGAAAATATATCATGTGTGTGTAGGGCGAAATATAATATACTATATGAGGTTCGGGTGCGTGAATGTTGACTTGCCTGACTCAACCTGTGAGTCTTAAGAGTGAGACGACTTCACAATACTCTACCTCATGATTATATCACATTCAAAAATGTTCGCCAGGAATAGTTTCTAGTGAGAAGGTAATACTGATAATCACGAGTCCTTTTTTTTCATGATGATTCCTGCAGTTTGAAGGACTCAAGAGAGTATCCAACAGAAGTAGTTTTGACGTTGAGTTTTCGTTATGCCTCTCGTCGAGTAGGTTTGATTTGTGCTTGAATATCGCGATGGCAGACGGCATAGACAGGTTTTTCTTGGGTGAAACGGCAATAGCTTTAATTGAAGCTTGCAGAGCCACGGGTATTTCGGACACGGCTAGCTTGGCCGCGCTGCACTCTGATGAAGGAAAAACTGTGGCTGCAGGAATAGCTGAGAAGGCGATAGCTCTACCAAGCTGGCCCCCATTAAAGTGCGGTGATGACATCAATGAGGACACCAAGAAGTCCGTGAATTTAATGCGTGCTAAGAGAATCCTGATGACCGCGTCTAAACAAGTCGACGAGGGAACTGAGTGCTCCTCACAGAAGTTCATGGAGATGGCCTATGAGCGTTTAGGAGGTGAATTGCCAGAAAGAATGACGATTGGGGAACAGCATATTCGAGCCATGGTGAAGGACCCTGCAACCTATCGTGAGTTAAAAATCACCAAAGGAACTGCTCTAGATGTTCCGGTTTGGCGGGAGACAACGGAAAGGAAAAATGGTGGCAACTAAGAAGCTGATAGAGTCCCGAACGCCTCGCACTGGTGGTGGAGTTACTGAGCGCGTTAATACCCTGGTTATGCGCGTTAGCCACTATAGTAGAAGACTCA